CCGGCCCCGCCCCCGCCCCCACCTCGCAAGGGGTGACTTTAGTGCCGGGTACAGAGATGTGATGTGACATAACACTTCGTCCATCCTCGCATTGCGTTTATTTTTACGCGTAACTGGCACTAGTCACACCTTTGGCATATTATCGGTGGACGTGTGAAAAAAAAGCAAGGAGTGATGACTTCTCCAAAATTTTCCAGTTGTTAAGTAATATGAGATAAGGTCAATTTTTTCGAAGGTGAAAAATCAAATTCACTTTCCGGATTGGTGACGGGAGCTGGGCTGTCGCGATTTGCATCTAATATGGTTCCGTTCTGCATTTTGGTCTACCCGCGCCCCGTCCTTTGCTGCGTTACCCCGTGGCCTGGGCACAATGCGCCTGCCTGAACGAGTTTTGCAGACCTCCAAGGGAACATGTCGGCATAAGGGATTGCATTTTATAGTGTTGAAGATGCGCGAGCGTGTCTCCGGGGTGTAGCACTTGAATGGCATTCCACTGTGAGTTATTCGAGCTTGTGTGAAGTGTGTGAGTATTCTGTGCATGCTGCATGTACCCTGCCGCCCTGCAATAAGCTACTCATATGTCACATCCATCAATATTCATCATCATCTTCACCAATATACGTACTCATATCAGGAGAGACTCGAAGTTTCCACCGCATGATGGGACTCCCTGACACCACACGCATGATTACTTCACCAACCATAAAAATCGTTGCATTTTTTAATTCTGTACATGATATGAATGTCCATTGTTTGAGCCGTTGTTTCTGTAGAATTGGAGGCAGTCGCTTGGTTCGGCTGTCAATACCCCCAGCCGGTTTGCTGGCCTGTCGGTATCGATGACCGCCAGCGACTTCGCACTGCCTCGTGTTGATAACAGTGTTTTCTTTTCTTTTTTTTTGTCATGCCTATGTATTCGGCACAGGCAGTTTGCCCACTCAGACCGATAAAAAAAAGTCATATGAATAAATTGAGAAACCAGACCATAATCGCAGCGTGCTTAAATAATGAGCCTGTCGTTTGTCGTTTGGCTGACGGTATGCTCCTCTTTCCAGCGGGTCTTCCCCCCATCCCAAGGTACCCAGCAGGGCCAGCCAGCGCCCCCCAAGGGGCTCCCCTGGGCCCGCCAGGGTCCCGTCGGACAAGCCGCCAGTCCGGACGGCGCCAAGCCTGAGGACGACAAGCAGCGGAGGCTGTTCGCCCCGCGCCCGCTCCTGCAGGCCCAGCAGCAGCCTTCGGGGCAGCAGCCGCAGCAGCCCCAGCAGCCGCAGCCCAAGCAAGGGGGTCGCATCGTCCGCCGACTGTCTGACAACGTGCAGCAGCAGCAGCAGCGACAGGCCGCACCACCCAGCCCCGCGCGCAGGAGCTCGGCCGTCCCCGCGACCACCAGAAGGGAGACGGTCATGATGTCGCTCCCGTAGCTGGCTCAGCTGCCGATTGAAGGAAAGGCACACACTTACTTGATTTCGTATCCGCGGCGTCTTACTGGATGTCACTGTTATGCCCATGCAATTTACGTGACAAATGACACTTAGCGGACAATTTGTCCTTCCTGATGAGGTTTCCACCAGTGACTAAGTAATGAGGGGCGTTTGAGCTAATGAATTTAGATGTAAGTACATTTGCCTCGTTAACTATGGTCCCTTACACTCGCTCTGACAGTGGTGGTAGGTTGGCGAATCGCTACTAGCCACATTGACTGATAAGATAATTGCACTGTGTCGATGTAACCTTTTTTAAAACTAATTGTGTACACACTGCTCATGTAAATAAATGAAATACGACGTGGGAGTTTTTTTTGCGTATAGATCAGTTTTGTCCAGTTGACGAAACCATCGTGTATATTCGCCTGTGATTTGTGAGAAAATAAAATTATTTAACTTGTGATCATTGCTAAAGCAGCTGTCTTTTGACCGCTCCCTTCTAGCTCCCCTCCCTCCACACATCTCCCCCCGAAAGTCATCAACGCAAATCCACTCGCCCGCCAGCACCTGGGTTGCACAGGGAAAGATCAAAACTAAAGTTGATATCTAATTGCCAAAAAAGAAAATAATACTGGGACTGGGTGTGTTTGGCGAGCACCCCAGTGTTGCTGGTTTATTTTCTGCCTCGTAAGGAATCGTCCAGAATCTACGTCTTTTTTTCCAGATATCATTTGGCAAAATGTGGGAGCTCAGCGCCTGCGAGACTCTGGGTAGGCCACCCCGCAGTACACGTATACACTGCGGGTAAGACATTGCCTACCCATCAGGCGCTATGAATGCTTGCATTGGCTGAGCTTCGCAGGTTCCCAACGGCGAATGACACGGACCAACTTATTTCTGGATGATCCCCAAGGCGTCGTGGCCGCTGCGGTGCGAGAGGGCGCGCAAACCCGCAACATTGGGCTGCTTCCTCTGACACACCCAGTACACATGTACTTTTGAACCCCGGCAGGAGGGCAGAGCTAGTGTTCAGTAGGTCAGTGGTGTGTGATCTTGATAGTCAGTATCGCGACGTTCGCGTCCGACACGCAGCGCGTCACTCCGCGTCTCTCTGCGTGACGTCTGGCCGTAGAAATTCCCATGCCCGGCCATATGGGGTACATACAACGACTGCTTGACGTTTTCGCGTCTCCCTCCCCCTCCCCCCTTCTCTCTCTGCATAGGTCCTAATAAATCAATTTCAATTCTCCCCCCTCCCACACACACATGTTGTGTCCTAATCAGTAGTGGCGGACGACTTACAACATTTACATCCCATCATATCACAATAACCCGTGTGTGTGTGTTTTTGCGGAATCCGCCGGCGCGCGCATTGCTGGGAGGGGGGGGGGGAGATAAGCAGTTCGTCACGTCACGCGCGGCCCAGTCACCGCAGTCCGGGCAGCAGTGTGCGGCGACTAGCCCGGCGCGGCTCATAGTTAGTCCTAAGCCAAGCGCAGCAGGTTGTGATGACGTGTGTGACTGTGCGTGTTTGTTTTAGGGAATGCATATATGGAGGTTAGGGTTTGTTTATTACGTGATGTCATGTCCGTTTGGTGTCCCTGGCCGCTTCGAATTCACCCGTGCCTACAATCTTTAAGAAAAATGAGGAAAATTAAGAACCTCTTTGGAGGAGACTATTTCAAAACCTGAGGGTTTTTTAAAGTTTATGCCCGTTTTCCCTCACAAAATCAGACTTGACTTTGGTTTTTACCGTCTGGCCATTGTGCCTGCTCAAGCAAGTAGGCAGGCAACCCATCCGCTATTCAGTATCGCTGCAGAATCCACACGGCCACGTGCTTCACGAAAGTGAGTGTGAGATACATGAAGCGGTCGCGTCCGTCTGCTGCTGGGATGAGACCGACCCTACCACGCCGGCTCCGGGACGGACGGCAGACGACTCGGTTCGGTCGCAGTCCTCCTGAGGTGCAGAGTGCCGATAAAGACCCTCGCCTTATCTCAGCCGGTTATTGACAGATGTGCCGGCGGCGCGGGCGGCCCGCCGTGTGGAGGCGCGCGCGGTGGCAGTGGCAGGGGGAGGGGAGAGGCAGGGGGAGGGGGGAGGTGTCCATCAGCTGACTGGTTGGGCCCGACGCGCTTTAGTGGACAAGTGACAGTCCCAGAGAGAGGATGGGCTCCCCGCCGCCCCGCGTGAGTACACTATAGACCTCGCTCCAATTCCGGGAAATGAGTTTGGGCCCGGCGTGGCCAGACCGGCGGGGCGGGGCGGGGCGGGCGAGGTGTTCCAACATGTGCGGCGGCGGCTGCAGTGGGCGCGCGCGCACGATCGCCCGTAGTGGAATTCGCGCGTTCCGTCGGATTCATTTTAAAAATCGCAGCCTGACGCGGACGCTTCAATGGCGTGTGGAGTTCAATTAACGCCCCACGTCGTGGCTGTTTTATTTACGCGCGTCCGTTTCCCCCTGCCTCTTTTTTAAAAAAGTTGAGATTTTCTTTTTCTGTGAGGCACGAACTCGGTCGCCCGGCGCGGCACTCCGCTCTGCCCCGCTCTCTGCTCCGGGTCGCGTCCAGGCTGCCCGAGCCCGAGCGTTAATTTGAAAGCGCGCGCGCAATTCGCGCAGAGCTCCGCGGACTAGATTGACTGCCGACAGGTATTGCGCCTCCGACCGCAATTCAATCGCGCGGGCGTAATTCAGTCTGTCTTTCTCTCGTCGTCGATTACCTGCCGATCCCACCGGCCAGCGCCGCCGCCGCACGTGATGTGATGCGAAGCTCGTTAAAATTTATATTTTATGCGGCGGGCAGGAGGCGGTAGTGGGCCGGTGCGGTGGGTGGGTGGGCTGTGAAGCGGTCAAGTAAAATATGAGCCGCCTCAAAGGAAGGCGCCGGCCGAGGGAAAAGGAAGAAAGAAAGAAAGAGAGAGAGAGAGAGAGAGAGAGAGAGAGAGAGA